TTACTTATAAATCCGGATACAATCTGAATGATTTTCCTAAAGCAGATGGAATTAGTTGTTAGTAATAAATATTGACTCTTTCCGTAACATGATAGACCAATTATATGAACTCATTCTCCCATATAGTGAAAGTGGCTTTGACATGAAACAAACTCATGAACAAACAATTATAAGACTCCTAAAAAACCTTTTGGGCAACCAGCCGATAAAAAGGTAGGAAATATTGTGTTAAACGAATTCATCAATCACGTTTTTTAGGGAACACAATCGTCACCCTTACTATTGCTTATCCTCCCTTCATTTAACTAAGATTTTAATGACCACTCTATCTATCACAGGAAGCTGAATTTACATAAAACCTCAAGATTAACCGTCGATTTCGACGGGGTTCCACTAGTATATATTATTTAGAAACATATCACAAAACAACAAATAATAGGCCTCGGAAGGCAGGCGGTTGGGTTGACGACGTGACGGCGATTATTTGAACGCCTTCTATGTGAGGGACGCAATAGTTCATACTTTTGGACCAAACGAACTCGTAATAGAGTGTTGAATAAAACGACCCGATCGAATGGTCCACAGTGAAACGTACAGTCTATTTCATAAGTTTACTCCACAATACACAATCGTAATTCTGGTTTTGCCTGTACTTTTGGACCAAACGATTTTGGACCAAACGAACTGTTTTACATCTTGTGGACCAAACGATTTTGGACCAAACGAACTGTTTTACATCTTGTGGACCAAACGATTTTGGACCAAATGAAATACTCCCCAACTGGATCATAAAACGATTTTGGACCAAACGAACTGTTTTAAAACTTGTGGACCAAACGATTTTGGACCAAACGAACTGTTTTACAACTTGTGGACCAAACGATTTTGGACCAAATGAAATACTCCCCTCTGTCCCTGTGGCACAGAATCGAGAACTGCACACACATACACACACACACACACACGCACATACTCACCAAGGCACACTCACGCGCGCACACACAATCACACGCTGTACCAGCTGTCAGCTATTGTCTGTATATGGAAACTAATAATCTATTAGCTCCATCCCTACCAATGAGATTGAGCCAGTGAACAATGTTTTTTTTGTACGTTGTAACTGAGTGTCTGTCAAAGTCTCGTAAGTCTAGTGGAAGGTTAGAGTAAATGATGTGTGCAACGTAGTGGCAATTAGTTGTAGGAAATGTCTTTGTAAGTCTGGGTAAGCGTATGCCTTGGCCCAGTGCATGTCGAGTATTATGGTCATGTTGTGGACGAACAAAGAGTGACTCGTGGTGTTTGAAAATAAACATCGAAACTGTTCTGATGAATAGTTGCGTTAAATCAAGTACATTCATTTCCGTGAACAGAGCATCCGACGAGTATTGCCTACCCTTGCCAAGTGCCGCTTTTATAATTGCCTTTTGTGTTACAACGAGAGGTTGCAGAATGTTGCTGTAAGCACCACCCCAGGCAATTATCCCCCCCCTCAAGCAGCGACTGTACATAAGCAAAATATGCATTTTTAATTTCATCCATTTCAAGAAAATGGTGCAGTTGGCGAAAAGCAAAAATCAGTTTTCTTAACTTTTTGTTTAAATATGACACGTGATCTGCCCATGACAATTTAGAATCAAACACAACTCCAAGATATTTATAATTTTGAACTCGATTTATTACCGGGCAGGGACAACTATTTCCGAATTCATGACCACAAGAATGAATTTTTATTTCGTTGCGAAGTGTGTCACCTCGAGCTCTTAAGGAGATTGGAATAAATTTTGTTTTAGTGACATTGAGCGTTAACACATTCTGATCAAACCATTTTTTTTATTTTTGACACGCCTCTTTCGGCATTGGCAAAAGCTGAGTCCCAAGTTTCGCCTTGGAATAATAATAATGTGTCGTCAGCAAAAAGATAAAAATCACCTTCAATATTTAATTTCACAAGATTGTTAATGTAAATTAAGAATTGTAAAGGCCCTAACGTGCTACCTTGGACCACCCCAAAATCTACATTACCAAGATTTCCATTGATTCCATTAATATTTACAAACTGCTTTCTATTATCAAAATAAGATTGGAACCATTGCAGAGCTACATCTTTAACACCTATCAGTTCTAATTTTTTTTAAAGGAGCGATCTATCCACTGAGTCGAAAGCTTTGGCCAAGTCAAAAAATACCAGAATAACACGCCTGCCTCTACTGATGGCCAAATTTATATCTTTATTAACCTCGAACAATGCATCTGTGATGTTTTTTGATTTTCTAAAACCAAACTGGTGGTGTGTTAAAATATCGTGCTGGTTAAGGTAATGAAAAACTTGATCTTTGATAATTTTTTCTAAAATCTTGGTGAACACACTTAGCAAAGAAATTGGCCTAAAATTTGAGATATTGGTGACGTCACCAGACTTGAAGAGGGGAACAACCTTGGCAATTTTGTAGGCGTTGGGGAAGATGCCACTTTGGATACTCTTGTTAGTTATATGTAGCAGTGGTTGTCTAAGTGTCTCCCAGTTGTCTTTGAGTAGTTCAGCTGATACACAATCATACCCTGGAGCTGAGCCACCTCGCAGTCTAGTGACGTAGGTGTAGAGTTCCTGTTCAGTTACAGTGTGAAGTGTGAGTATGGAGTCAACAGCGTGGTCAGTGTCATCAACCACAGGTAAACCGCCACCGCCCGAATCTATACTTGCTGCCAAGTTGGGACCAACGTTGGCGAAGTACTCATTAAACTCGTCGGCCACCTGTAGTCTACAGTCGTTGTCAACATTCAGTCTGTTTGCTGCAAATTGTGTTAGCGGGAAAATGTCCTTTCTATTACCTCTACCTGCTAATTCATTTAATGTACTCCAGAACGTTTTTGGATTGTTTTTTGAATTTGAAAGTTTTTCCCTAAAATAATTGTATTTAGCTAGTTTTGTATCTTGGTTTAGCTCATTTTTGATTCTTTGAAATTTTGAAATCAATTCCATATTAAAAGGTTGCCTCCTAACTAACTTGCTCAATTTGTCCCTATCCCTTATTTTTTTAACCAAGTCCTGTGTCATCCATGGTTTGAGTGGCCTCAGCCTCGGTTTGAGAACAGGTCTTTGTTTGGTGGATTTGTTTACACAATCTTTAATTTTGCCAAAAAGAATATCTGTAGATGTGTTTACATCACTCGCAAGCGAGACATCTGACCAATCACACTCTTTAATGTTTAAGCTCAAAGATGCTTTGTCAATGTAAGTGTTTATGTTGTGTGACGTGTTAGTGCAAGGGTTGTGACTTATTTGTAGACAAATACTGTAGTGATCAGTTATGTCCGTCCTCACCACAGCAGTTTGTAAGGCAGAGCAATCATTGTGGCTTACAAATATATGGTCAATATTTGTTTGACTATTTCCTACTACTCTAGTAGTTGTATTTATGCCACATATAAAACCATGTTCGTAAAAAACGTCCAAGTAGCGTTCAGTTTTGTAGTCAGTTTCTAGTAAGTTAGCGTTAGTGTCACCCATGAAGACGTAAGTGTTACAGTCATTTTTGTTCTCATAGTAACCAGAAAATACCAGAATAACACGCACACACAAAATTAATAAATGGTATTAATAAATTATTATTAATAAATTAATAATAATTAATAATTATTAATAAATTATGGTATTAATAAATGGTTTAGTGGGGTGTGGTCTAAGAGCGTTAGTAAAGTTGTCTAAGTCGCTGTCATGTGTACGGTACACAGTCAGAACGTTAGATCTAGTTCCTTGATGGACAAAACAAAGTCCAAAGTCAGTCCATGCACGTCACCCAGCTCCAGTTCCTTGCATTCACACACATTCACTCTCTCACTCACATACATCAATACCCCATCACTTTTATTTTTTCCCCGAGTCGTACAATACAATTTATACCCCTCTATGTCCAACCCCGACCCCCCATCCCTACCCAGCCATGTCTCCCCAAGCGCTATGAAATCAAACCTTACATCGATTGACTGTAACATTAATAAAAGTGTATCGAAATTTTTATTGTAACTACGAACATTCATGTATAGAAATTTGTATGAGCAACTTTTAAAAACAACGTCCTTAAACCTATCAACTATTGTACAGTCTATCTGCCTATATTGATCAAGAAACAAATTGGAATCCTCCATGTTCCCTTAAAGAAATGCAAACAAAAAGATATTGAGCTATTTTAAGATTTAATCAAAAAACAAAAACCAGTCGCCGTTGAAAGGCCCCACCCAGTCCTTCGGTCCACTAATGTATCTATCGATTACAAATTTAATTTATCTGTCATCTACGTTACACATACTTATCTTTCATGACATGCAAAATTTTAATGTTAATTAAACTACTAAAAATTAATTTTATTGGCCTTTCTATGTGAGGTCCATGTCTAATTTCGTTTCACCATATTTATTATAAAGCAATATTTTAAATTAAATAGTACTAGTCAAAAATGAAGTGGTAAATATGTTGATTGAATATTATGAATAGATAACACAATAGATAAGAGTTAATCCTTACTGTTTTTTTTCATGTCTTTAAAATTAGATTAGTAACTCTTAAAATAAATAGACATAAATTCATTTTACTTTAAAAAAATATAGATTTAATATAGCTTTTAAGTGAAACTGGCTTAGTAATATAATTAATTTATGATGCATACCCTTGCAATAATAAATTGATCCATTCCCCATATTAAAAATAATTGAGATAAGAAACGTTCAAGTACCTCAAGGCTAAATAATTTAATACAAAAAATGTCTTTCATGCCCTAGCTTATGTTTTAAAATAAATACTGAATAAATAAATTATCAAGCACTGATTTAAAAACTTCTATGTTAAAACTTAGGTTTGAACCAAAAAAATAATAATATAAATAAATAACTAGAAAATATATAATTATGATTATCAAGGTGCAAGCAAAAACGTGACTTAAGAAAATAATATTGTTAGTCTAAATGATATTATACCTTAACATATTTACAGTGCAATATTGTTTTTACACATCCTGGCCACGACGATCTTCACACCTGTCCGTTGTTTCGGCTGATTCTTCACCATTGTCCTCGTCGTTGGTCTGCTTCTGCTGAACCGCCGCCCCCGCTGCCGCCTCCACATCCTTGACGCTCCTCACTCGCTTCGGCCTCTCGTTAGGTGTCTTCCTCACAAGAATTTTACCTTCCTTCACCCATGCATATGCCAGACGTTTCTCTTTTACTAATGTCTTGGCATGGTTTAAAGTTGCCTTACTGTGAGCTGACAGGTGTTCGTTTATGAAGACAGGTGAGTTGGGGAAGCTTCGGTGGACCATGAAGGCTGTCAGGTTCTCTGGTAGATCTTTGGCTGAGCTGATCCATGCATGCTTGGCAGTCCGTCTGATGAAGCGCACGATGATGTTAGGGAAGCGTTGGCGACTCGAAGGTACTCGGTGTGCGATGGAGATGTCATCACGCCTCCAGGGCGTCTTTATGGCGTTGGCGACTGCTTGCAGCACTGCGTAGACATCCTCGTCCTTAGTCAGGGGGACTCCGACGATCTCTAGATTGTCTATTCTGCTGTATTGTTGCAGTTCCTGAAGGTCTTCCGTCAAAGTGCCGACCTGCTTGGACAGGTCATCACACCGTGATTTCAGCTCGCCACACTCCTCTCTCAACAGTTCGTTTTCGGATTTTAGATCTGTTATTGACGTTACAACTGTCTCTTGCCACGAATTAATTTTGTCATTTATTTCGTTAAGCTTACCGTGGATCGATTCATTTATCTTTTTCTCCATTTCAGAGAGTTTTTTACCAAGCGTATTGGTGAAATCGGCGCGCAAACTATTAATTGCTTTAAGTAGCGACGACTCCTCACTGTCACTAGCACTTGAAATGGATACCGACGACTCTTTACATTTGTCGCACTTGAACTGATTATTTTTTCGCGTCTTTCTCTGCACGTTCGGTCCCGCACAGGCCACGTGTAGCACATCGCCGCACTCCGAGCACTTCACAGCGTCAGACCCGTCCACATTGCACTCCACGTTGCACTTCACACACTTGTCTGGGGAACGCATCAAGGGCTCCCGACTGCAAAGACTCCCGACTGCAAACCCTACCGAAAGGTGACGTCACGGCCGACTACCCCTCTCTCTATCTGAGTGGAGTGGGAGAGAGCCGCTGCGGCAACACCCCCCCAGTCCAGCCGATAGCTTACCCTCACGTAATTCTCTGTAGCAACCCCCCTAGGTCCAGCCGACGGCTTAACCTCCACACGCAATTCCCTGCGGCAACGCCCCCGGTCCAGACAACGGCTTATCCTCCACACGTAATTACCACTAAATTAGGTCAAATTTTGTAAAATAAGCTCTTTCCTATGTACTAATGGGAGAGATACTTGCTCAATGAAACTAGTTTTATGGTAATTTTTAAAGTGATCGAGCAAAAGTCTGCCACCAAGTTGCCAAACTTACATACATTACATTATTTTTCTTGGCGGAAAAAGTAATGATTTATTATCGTTTTTGGATTGCTGACTTGGCGGGGAAAGTGTTATTACTTAGTGTTTTTTTTTATTTATTTTTGTAGAAAATCAACAGTTAATATAAAAATCCTCTTTTCTCTGATACATAGACCACGGCATAACTACATCTCATTTAATTTCAATAATATTGTTTTTGTAGAACTAAATTCAACATTTTTTGTCTTATCTGCTTTAAACCGATTAAAAACTTTTTGACACACGTTACAAAATTACTATTTAACAAACCCCCTGGGCTTAAACTCAGTTTCAAATTTCATCAATGGTCATCTTGAACAACATAAAATGCGTTGGATTTACATAAGTGTTCTGATAATTAAACCCACATATCTAAAGACTAGTGTAAATTGAGCCTTTAGTAGAGAAGTAAAAATGTAATCAAACATAGTAGGTTTGTTAGAAATAGCATAAGACAAAACAAATATTGAAAAACTCATTTATCCTAAATTTACATATCACCTACTTGAATTGCTTGTTTAACATACGTAGAGTGATTTTCCCGATTGTTTTGTTTGTTTTAGTGTATCAAAACATAAAACAAACCTTAGTACTAGTACTAAGTTTCAAGTTCATAGGTTTCATATGTTTTGATAAGTAGTATTAAACTGTTAAAATGACGAGCTGCTGTACCAGTGTACTATCGGTACACTGCATTTTTCAATGGAAAGTATCGGGGAATATCACTGCTCTAAGTAATTTTATATAGGAAGTAGTTCAAATCATTCGGTATACCTGAAAAAATCCTACTGATATTATAAATGAGAAAGTTTGGATGTATGGATGTATGTTTGTGACAAGTAAACGCATTAACCACTGGACGGATTTTGCTGAAATTTCGCATGATGATAGCTCACATTCCCGAATAACATATAGGCACATTCTTATCTCAAAAATCCTATCGGACTCCACCCCAGTGGCTCTAGAGATCCCCGTGTTAACCTTATGAGTATTCATATTTAAAGGGAATTAAAGAATTTAGTCAGCTGTTTTAACTATAAAGTTGGTTCTATGATATGCAAAAGCATTAAAAACTTACAAGATTACCAACAGGGTGCAGCACTATTAATTGTTTTTAATTTATGACAACAGCTAATTTGCAACCAAAAGGTGAGGTTTGTAGGCATACTTGTTCAAGAATATGTCGTGGTAGGTTTTGTTTATAAATTGTATTTTTGATTTCTTGTCTTATGTCGTTATTGATTTATATCTGTGCGATCGCGATTTGTAATGGGCTTTTCAATTTCCGCTTCAGGTTACCCACCGCACGCCTTTATACTTCCCGATCACTCTCTTTACCATCATGTCAACAACAACTAAACTTTAAAGTGACTTTAGGGCAATGTTGGTATCTGCTTATACTGAGATACTATCTGATTCGTCCTTAAGTAGGAGGAGGGGCGAAAAGAAGTGGGCGTCTCTAAAATTCCAAGATATGTCAGTTCCCCGAATAGGGGTTTGACCCGATAGTACCGGGGGGGGGGGGTTTGAATAATCGGAAAACCCATAATCTACATTAATATGAAAGTTACCAATTAATTTGAGTATTATTAATCAAAGATTGCAGAATAATATACTGTTTTATATTTCATATTTAAATAGTCTTGTATGGTCATGCGAGGAATCATGAAAATATATCCCGTAATGCTTATGGTTTTTTTTCAAGGAGTTTTTATCTTGAGGTCGAGATGATTAAAACCCCCCAAAAAATACAACTAAATTAGTTATTAAAAAACTTTTAGTAACGAATCACAATGTAAACGATGCCGCTTCCTCTAGTGAAACACTGACATACACTACTTATTTCGCGTTGCTAAATACATACATAAAGACGTTTCACTGGAGATACAGAACAAATATTTTCTCTTATCAGCCAATTATTATTTTTCCATAAAACATACGTTGTAATACTTTGGAGGAAATGACTCATGTAATTTTCGGTGCTCTATTTTCCTATGGGAATGCAGCATATATTGGCATATTGGCATCACTGATAGACAAATAGGACAGAAATTAAGATGAGTTTCGTTCCTGATTTATTTGTTTTTTATTTAGATAAGTATTAAAAATTCCTCATGCCCAGGCTACCTAGTACTGTAAAATAACTCCTTTTCATAACAAAATTTTACTGTAATAATTTGTTGGGCATATATAATCTTGAATAATTAATTGATCTGTTTTTCTAACGATTATAGAATCCCAATATCTTACCATAAATGACACAGTATTTGAAATAATAAACCCAACAATTAGTAAAAAAACTAATTAATTATTCAGAGATTTGTATTGGTTGTAATAAGCTTTGTGACTTTGAATATCACCATAGGCTATAGTCAATAATATCACAGTTTTCTGTCGAAGCTTCCACCGGGTTACATTAAAAAATCAGAGCGAAATTTAAGCACATTGTCTTTTATTGTTCTAATTAGTACAATAAAATAATTATATTCAATAGCCAACATTCCGTTCAATCAGTTTATTGGTTTACACGTGGTATTCATACTTACTCTTACTCACAAATGTAAACACTTTCCCAATAATGTCTAAATTGGCTTTAAACTATATTAGTGGGAATGACCAATATAAAAAACACAGGAGACAAGGCTAATAATTTTAACAATTTTATTTTAATCTTCAGAGGAAAAAATATAGGTCTACGGCATGCTTAACAAATCTGATTTAAAACAATTATATCGTTAATTTAGTGGGAATCAACAACATCAAAATCGCGGACGGAAACTCACATTTCCCCACTTTACCCGGAGAGAGGGATGGACGGCCGTGGCGTCATACTTCTGTAGGGGTTTTCGAGTGGAGGACAAGCCAGCGGCTGGACTGGGGGGGTGTTGCCGCAGCGGCTCTCTCCCACTCCACTCAGATAGAGAGAGGTGTAGTCGGCCGTGACGTCACCTTTCGGTAGGGTTTGCAGTCGGGAGTCTTTGCAGTCGGGAGCCCTTGCTATCGCACCCTTGTCTGCCATAGTTTAAGCTAAATTTTTAAGAATGTATTTCAGAAAACTCGGAATATCAGTTTGTAACTGTATTCTAACATGTAGTCACGGCGTACGAGACACTCAGGACCGGGCAAAGGACAATCAGATAGCGAGCTCCTTCCGCATCGGCTGCCTGATAACGACTGAACTGAAACGTAGTAACTCATCAGATATTTCATTGAATTTAGAAACAAAAGAACACTGTGTAGGCCTACAGCTAAGTTTTATGATATTTTCCTTAGTTTGATTTAATCAGTGGTGTAGCAAAACACAATTTACTAAATTTACCTAAATATAAAAAAAATCAATGTGAAGTGCAAGTTATGTTAAGTTTATCCAACATATGTTAAGCAGTTCGAATTTATAAAAAAAAATCCTCCAAATTCATACAAACCATCTATTGTATTTTTCATACTGTTTCCATGAAAACATTTCAATATAACATTATTTTCATAACTAAGACGCTTTAAAAAATCCAGGCAGAGCTGGAGTTGATACAGCAACGGTTATAGAATCTTATTTTGTTCTATAATCATTGACATAGTTTTAGAATAAATAATGCATGATACACTTTAGATTAAAATAAACCTACTTCATAGTTAGTTATGGAAAATATTATAGTTAATTTCTTTGTATCAGCTGTCTGAAATTGTGAAATATGCAATTTAACATTTCTTCTTGTTTACATTGAAATGTCAAAGCAAATGTAAACAAACATTATTAGTGTTCTCATCGCAGCCATGGAGACAAATCAATATTTACTTTTAAAATCCTAACCTCAGAACTTTTAAAGCCAAAGGGGCAAAGCCCACGGTCAGTATCAAAGTGTGAATAGTCCTATAATGGTCCTTGGTATGGTAGCTATAGTTTTGCAAAATATATTATTATGCATTTGTTTATTTTTCTTGGATACAATAACCTCAGCAAAGAGGTATCGAGTGTATTGAAACGTTACACAAAACTAAGATCAGAGTTTTAGGGGATTTGGACTCACGTCATTTAACCGTACGTTTTATTCTCATTCCCTCAATTCAAAAACAACTCAAAGAGTCGCATATCGTCAGGTTGTCTCATCAGGAAATCAAAACATTGGCAGGACAAAATGAATGACTGCGAGTGGATCAGGTGTCGGCTGTTACGTGGCCGCGGTTTTGGAGGGAATAATCAGGTGATCAGCTGTTTGACGGTCACTACCCGCAATCTAGGGCCCTATTGTGCGTCTGTCTGGGCCCCGGAACCTGTGGGTAATTGGCGGGTCTGTCCATCGTGTGTTGCCCTCTATGTGCTACAATATCGCAACTCAGTGTTAAGTCACAGTACATTGCACCTGCAGTAAATATAGAGTAACATCCACACACATTATTGGACATGTTTGAGCTTTTTGGAGGGAGTATTGCACAGGGTCCAATTTCAGTAGTTCCAAAACTATCAATTTAGTTGCAAAAAATATAATTTCACAGGTTACAAAGGTGTTTCTTTAGCTCCAAGCCCAAATTACTGATGTCCAATAGTACTGTCATTACCAGTAAACATTTACATTGTGAAGT